GACGTGCGCTTGGGCCCTGGTGACGCGCTGCGGGGGCCCGGTTATGGTGGCTAGTAGCCCGGTGACGCGCTGCGGGGTCCGCGGATGTATCACAGTGAAAAGGCGGAGAGTTTACGAAAGGAAGGAGGTACAAAATAGTCCGCTATGTTTTGCAAATTTTCGTAGCGAAAGTCAGGCTTCTGACTTTCTACCTTTGTTCTTTTGGCCCACTGAACGATGTGCTATTAGTAAAATCCCAATATAAATTGATTTACTCCAGCCTAAAATTCGTTTCATGGGTCCTTTAAAGGGGCGGTGCAACAATTTGCGGACTTTGGCTAATTAATTGCGGGAATAGATCCCGGCCATATATAAAACGAAGGGCCGAAAACTATTCTTTCCTGATTGCCCTAGTTTTCATTAAAAAATATAAAAGAAATTGGTATCTCTGGCACCCCTCAACTCAACATTGAAGCGGCACCAGCTTCGCCTGTGACGTCTTTCGGAGTGGCGTTGGTTTCCGGTTGGGTTCTTCTGGATTCCATTTCCCCAGCGCTCGCCGGCTCGCCGGGCTCGCCGCTCTCGCCGCTCTCCCGCTCTCCCGTCGATTCCTGACCAACATGGCGGCATGGGCGGACGGCCTGAGCGACGTCAAGCGCAAGATGCTTGCGTATAGTAAGCCTTGGACTTGTGCGGCGGGCAGTCGACGCGGCGGGCAGTCGAAGTCGAAGTTGAAGTCGAGGTCGAGACACCAGGAACAATAACGATACCACGATACTACCGACCACGACCAACGCACTCCGTCGAGCGAGGGAAAGACAAAACGTCCGGGTTGCTCGTGTAGCCGCCGTAGGCGCCTCGGGCGTCGACGGATGACGGCGGCAGGTTTTGTTGACTTGCGGTAGATGGCGCCACAAATAATTCATACCCTTTTAGCGGCAATATTAGGCTTCTGAAGCGTTTCTGCGTGCTTAAACGATAAGATTTTTTAAACTTAACCTTATATCAAGCTTACAATTGCCTAACACTATCACTTACAAAAACCACTCCGAATGACGTCACACCACAGGTTCCATTTGCGGTCACCATATGGCCGCAGGTTGGGAAAAAAAGCGTTCTTTATTTTGCGATTACGCAGCGAAATGGAGGTATTTTGGGATATGGTGGCACTTTTTCTCTTACTTATGCCGAAGTAAACAATATAAAAAATACAAGCTGCACATTCGTTCAGTGTTAAAATCATTGCACCGCCCCTTTAAGACATGCCGGAGCGAGGGCTGCAGGCTCCGGCATCGGCGCGAGGACGGCGCGGGGTTCTTTCGCGAGCTCTCTAATTTTTGTCGGGTCCTTCGAACTCCATTCTCTCATCGCCTCAATCTGGGCCAGCTTTACTTCCTTAATTTCGCGTTGGAGTCTAAGAATTTCAAGCGCTATAGCTGCCGACCTGCTACCTACTCCGTCCTCCGCCCCAGAAGAACCGCCCTTAGCCCCTGATATTGTGCTCTTGGACATTGTGAGCCTCGGAGGAAACAACCCTGGGTCTTATCTGGGTACGAGGGTCCTGCCGCGCCGTCACATTTCCCCGGGGCGTCTCTGTGGCTCCCTTGTGTTGCCTCCTTCCGCCGGTCTCGAGCCCTTGACTCCCGGAGCCTCTCGCTGGGATGCCGCTCCGTCCGCCGCACACAACGCAACAGGCAGTCAACTTCCTCGCCGGGCCTGGACCTGGTGGTATGGGGATGGGCGCGTCCTGGTCCGGATGGTGACGACCGATGACGGTGCTCGCCCGATGGCAGCCCCCGGGAAGTTGATAATAAGAAAAAATGCTAAACTAAAAGTTGTTCGATCCCGCTGAACACATTGCGATGTTGGTTGGCTTTACAGTGGCCAGCGTGGCCACGTTTATTATGAAACAAAACAACTCAACAGTGAGTAAAAATCCCAAAATTAAACCCCGTACCCTTTATTTATTTATTTATTTATTTAAGTTCCCTCAAGGGCCCTGTGGCATTACAGAGGGGAGTGGTACAAGACAAATTTGGAACACAAACAATATACAAACACTAAAAGCCAAGCACTAAAAATGTAAAAAAAAGTGTATAAACAAATTAAGAAATGTATAGAATAAGGCGAACAAACAAAGAAAAAATATTAACATAGGTAAGTAGTCAACGCACTTTTAAACAAGTCAAAGACGATATGTTTACTAATTGCGCGGGAAGGCGATTCCATTCTGAAGATGTCCTTATAATAAAAGAGTTATAATAGGCTGAGGTAATGCAATGAGGAATTCCGACTTTAAATTGATGATCTACGCGCGGCGAGATGAAAACAGGATTTAACATTAGTTTGTTTTTTAGCGAAGTATTGCAATGATAAATTTTATAAAAAAAGACACAAACCAGATATTTTTCGGCGTAATGAAAGAGCAGGAAGTGATAAATTAGTTTTCATAGTTGAGACACTAGATGTGCGATGATAGTTAGTAAATATAAAACGGGCACCGCGATTCTGTAGGGCTTCAAGATCAGTCACGAGAGTTGAGAGACCAGGATCCCAGATTGCTGAAACACAGTCTAGTTTGGAACGGACAAGGTTTTTATACATTAGTAGTTTTAGGGACACTGGGGCTAACCTAAAGTTTCTCTTTAGGTAACCAAGCATGGAGTTAGCGTTTTCGAGAATGTGGTCAGTGTGAGTTTTCCATGACATGTTAGAAGTGATGTGCACCCCAAGGTACTTGTAGCATGGAACAGTTTCAAGAGGAATTTAAAAGACTGAGTAAGTAGAAGATATAGTAATTCGACGGGAGATATTCATCGCTTTACATTTGTTAGTATTAGGAGACATTTGCCACAAATCACACCAATCAGTCACAGCTTGTAAGTCATTTTGAAGAAGTTCGATGTCAGTAGTATTAGTGACTTCTCGATAAATTACACAATCATCAGCAAAGAGGCTAATAGATGATGATACACACAGTGGTAAGTCATTTACGTAAATTAAAAACAACAGGGGCCCCAAAACAGACCCTTGCGGTGCACCAGAAGTGACAGGTTTGATAGAAGAATTTACATTGTTAGCATGAACAAGCTGAGAACGATTAGTTAAAAAACATGTAATCCAAGACAGCACGTTAGGATCGAGATTGAGCTGACTTAGTTTGAAGAGTAAACATTTATGAGGAACTTTGTCGAAAGCTTTGCAGAAATCTAAAAAAACACAGTCAATCTGGGATCCACGGTCAAGTATCGAAAGTACATCATTAGTGAAGGTCAGTAGTTGAGTCTCACATGAAAGGGACTTACGAAAGCCATGTTGGGATGGAAAAAAGAAGGAATTAGAGACCAGGTAGTTAACCAAATGAGTAAATATTATGTGCTCTAAAATTTTACAAGGTGTGCTGATTAAGGAAATGGGGCGATAGTTAAGAGGACTCTCTTTATCGCCCTGTTTATGGAGTGGAATCACCTTCCCTATTTTCCACTCCTCAAGCAATACACCAGATGCAACAGATTGCTCAAAAATCTTGAAAAGGTAAATTGCGATATAATTTTTACTATTCTTAAGGAATGTGGAGGTGACATTGTCTACTCCAAAAGTCGAAGATGTTTTTAAGGTATCAATCAAATTTAAAATTCCGTCATAGTCAATCACAAGAGGATCCATGGGCAAAAAGTTATAATTAGGGTACACAGGGTGGGAGCAATCATCATCTACACAAAACGCTTTCACAAAAATGTCATTTAAGATAAAGGCACACTGGTCATTTGGAATAACACCATTATTAATGAGCGAGATATAGTTCGTTTTGTTTTTATTCATAATACGCCAAAACTGTTTAGGACTGGTCAGTAACATGGAGGGTAAGGTCACATTGAAAAATGTTAGTTTAGCGTCCTTGATGGCAGTTTATAAGCATCCTCAGCTGCATGATAGATTTCCCAACGTGTGTCACTACAAGAAAGCTTTGCAGAACGAAACAAACGTTTCTTTTTGTTGTTAAGGCGCTTAAGTGTTACATTAAACCATGGAGACAAGGAATTTGTTTTAATGGACCTATATGGAATGAATAAGTTAATTAGAGAAACTAATTTATTTTTAAATATGGACCAAATGCTTTCAACTGAGCGTCCAGAAAAATTAGGAAGGAATTCCCAGTCTCCCAAGATCGAATCGAAGCCAATTCTTCAGAATCCTCTCGGGGATCCTTTTGCAGACTCGTAGGGACCTCCTTTCCCCTGAGGGACCGACCAATCCCTTCAAATTTCACCACTCCCACGTGGTACACTGTTCTCGAATGGTCGGCGAGCTGTCAGCCTGGCGCTCCAACCGCCAAATCCAAATTCTTTCTAGAGTCAACCCCTGCATTTTACGCAGACTGGCTGGTGCCAACAGCTAAATTATTACATCGGGTAAAAAGCGACAATTTTACACTAAGCGGCAAAACCCTCTATATACAGGCACCTTCGATTAAAAGCTACACGCTTCTCCAAGCGCGGGCTCTCCCGGTCCCGGTCTGAGTAGACTCCTGAAACCCGATACGCTTCTTAACGACGGCGGGGGAACCGCTCCCGCATTGCGGCCGCTCTGGCCCCGCCAACACAAACATAGAAAGTTAAAAAAAAACAAAAAAACAAAAACAATGCCGACGCAACTCTGGAAAGATAAACTTTCCTAACAAAAATCACCTTAGCTAATAAGCAGGATTTCTACTGTGAGCAGGCTCATTACTAGCGCCACCTGCCGACATCTTGTTGTTCACAAAGCCAAGCCTGGCCCAACGAGGGAGCGCTAGTCGACGCTCCCGCCATGCGATGTTCCCGCCATAACCGCCGTATGAATTTGCCATCGTTATTAAACCCTTTAAGTAACGTTTAACTCTGCCTCTGTCATCCGTACCCTCACATTTGGCGCAGTCGACATGTCAAGGAGCCTGGATGCCACTCGCCCGCCCGCACCGCCTGCCTAACTCGCCTGAAGAACGAGTCGCATCTTTTGTTTCGCCCGCCCGCCCGCCCGCCATGCCTCTTGTCAATTGGGCCGAAGCCACGCCAAGCGACCTCGCCGGTTTTACGGCGGAATACCTTCGCGACGAGTTGTCTCGTCGCAAACTTGACGTCGCCGGATCCAAAGAGGAAATCATCCACCGCCTCCTGGACGACATCGCCCGAAGCCCCCCGCCACCGCCATCGACCCTGCCTCTTCCCGACTCGGCGGCCTCCGCAGAAGGCCCGCAAGAGTCATCGCCTCTCCCGACCCTTGACCCGGCGCAGTCCACGCAGCTATTGACAAGCTTGCTGCAGCAGTTCCTGACCGTGTCTCAACGTGCACCAGCCCCTGTGCAGGTGACTACCCTGCCGGACTTGTCCGCGTCGCTTCCAACTTTTAGCGGCGATGGAGGTATTTCGGCCCGCCATTGGATCGAGGAGCTGGAGCGAACACAAGGACTGGCTTCCTGGGAGCCCTCGACACTTCTCGCAGTCGCTCTCGGCAAGCTTCGAGGCCCAGCCGCTAACTGGAAAGCTGTTTCTGGACGCCAGTGCCTAACTTGGGAGAGCTTTAAGGCCGCCTTCCAGGCGCAGTTCGGTGATCGCCTTACGCTTCTGCAGTGGCAGCACAAGGTCACCGCTCTGGTGCAGTCGCCTGCAGAGAGCCTCGTCAACTATTCCCTGGCAAAACTAAAACTCATCTCGAAATGCCCCGTTGTGCTGACTGATGCTCAGCGCATAGAGTATGCTGTTCAAGGCATCAATGACGAACATCTAGCGACATCCATCACAGCGCAGTGTCCTGCGACGGTCCCTGCATACATGGACATTGTAACACGACTCGACCAGACTTTAAGCCATTCTCGTCTAAGGTCAAACCGCACGGAGGCTGAAAGTGCAAGGCCACCAGTTGCCAAACCACACGCAACGCCTTCCTCAACTCAATCTTCAAATCGAGCTGAACGTGTGTCTGCCATACCACAGCGCATTTCGTCTCTTTCACAAGAACAGCAGGAGGCACGATACCTTGCCATCACATCAAAACACGGAGCTCCCGCCCATCGCCCCGGCCAAGATTTGAGCAAGGCTGTGTGCTACAATTGCCGGCAGCTGGGTCACCTCTCCGCCAAATGCACCGCTGCAAGGACCCCACGTAATCAGCAGCCAGCCAGCTTCAAGACCAATGCCCCTGCCATGTCCTGCCTCCAGAACTCTGAGCCACTTGAGGGCTCAATGGTCCAGTGTGCTGTAGTCCAAGCCGATGTCCCAACAATCGGCAAGGTTGACGCTTTCCCTGACAGTGGGTCTAAGTTGACCATACTGTCGCAAGAGCTTATCGGAACCTTGAGCTTGCTACCATGGACAAAGCCACCCATTGCTGTCGTTGGTGGCAGCACAGTTGTACCAACTGGTACTCTGTGCACTCGCATCTCCGTTGGTCCCATCTCTGCCGTCGTGGAGGTGATGGTACTTGCGCGCAACCCCCTGCCTCTGATCCTCGGAGAGGACTGGTTCGAAGCAGCACATGCAGAACTTGTTGTGAGGCCGCCTAATCCAACTGAAATTCGCCACCCCAGCTCAGGTGCCGTCTTGTTGTGCCAGGAGAAGGTGTTGCCGAGGATGTCGAACGCTGTCCTTCTCCACACCCTGACTTCTTCCCCGTTTGCACCGACTATCCCTTCGACAGGTGGTCTCCAACTCGAGCCTCTCCCAGATGACAACCAGCCCTTGTGGCTGGCTCTGGCATGCCATGAAAAGTCGCCCCAGCCAGAGCGTGATTCTCCAAAAACATGTAGCCCGAACAGTTTCGAGAGAAACAAGACAAGTTCCATTCTAAGCGAAGCCCAAATTGGCACAGAGCTACAGCCAGAAGAGTCTACTGCGATTCAAAATGTCCTGCAACGACACATTGCTCTCTTTGCTACAGACGACAACGACTTGGGACTCTATGAAGGAGCACAGCACGCCATTGACCTCGTTCCAGACGCTGTACCCTACAGTCGGCAACCGTATCGGTATGCAGCTGATGACCGACAGTTTATTGAGCAGCAAACTGATGAGCTCCTGAGGAAGGGCATCATAGTGCCGTCTTCTAGCCCTTGGGCCTTCCCCATTGTCATTGTTTCTCGTGGAAGCAAGAAACGACTGTGTGTAAACTACATCCCACTTAACAAGCAGACAGTCAGTGTCGCTCAGCCGCTTCCCCGTGCCGAGGACATTATGGACGACATAGCAGGTTGCTCGCTGTTCGCCTGCCTTGACCTGAGGTTTGCCTACTGGCAAATACGAGTGCGCCCGGAAGACCAGCTCAAGACGTCTTTCATTACGCATCGTGGCACGTTCCAGTGGACAAGAATGCCATTTGGACTCAAAAATGCCCCTGCCACATTTCAAAAAGCCATGCAAGCAGTCTTCGAGCAGCTTCGATCCCGACACCCCAAGTGTGGAGTTCGTGTGTATCTGGACGATGTCCTGCTCTTTGCCACCAATTTTCACGAGTTCATCGACTTGCTCGAAGAAGTCCTCGCACTGCTACAGACAAGTGGATTTAAAGTTTCGCTAACTAAGTGCCGGTTCGCTGTACCATCATTGACGTTCCTAGGCTACGTCCTCTCCAAAGAAGGGAAACGACCCAACCCAGCAAAAGTGGAAGCCATCCTGAAGATACCCACACCGACAACTGCCAAGTCTCTCCTGTCCTGGTTGCAGACTGCAAACTTTTACCGACGTTTTATCCCCGAGTTCTCCAAGGTTTCGGCTCCTCTCCAGACCATCATCAGGACTGGAACCTTTAAGTGGACCCCTGCTTGTGAATCTTCATTTCAAGCTCTCCGCCAAGCGCTTACCTCTGCTCCTGTTCTCGGGCATTTTGATCCTTCAGCGCCGACTACGGTGACCACGGATGCATCAGCTGTGGCACTTGGTGCTGTCCTTTCACAACTCCAGGATGGCAATGAGGTGGTCATTGAGTATGCTAGCAGAGCTTTGTCAGCCACTGAGAAGAACTTGCACAGCAACATTTGGGAATGCTTGGCTGTTCATTGGGCTATCTCCCAGAAGTTCCGGCACTACCTCCTTAACCGGAAGTTTTGCTTACTGACTGATAATTGGTCAGTCGCCTGCCTGACGGCCAACTTCAAGCCGTCGCGTCGCTTCACGGGAATGCTTATGGACCTTGTGGAGTTTGATTTCACTGTGCAACACAAACCAGGCAAACAAAATGTTGTCGCAGACATGCTGTCACGTCTTTCCTGTGCCACTGTGGAGCCCATGGTGACCTTGTGCCAACTTCAGCAAGAAGATGAGGAGTGCCTTGCCCTACATCAGAGACTGCTGACCGACGATGAAGCAAGGCAGGACTTTGTCGTCATCGATGACATCCTGTATCGTCGCACGCATCCAAACGTGCACACAATTGTTGTGCCCCACAAGTTGCGTCAGTCTGTGCTTGAGCTGACTCACGATAACAGCGGCCACATGGATGCAAAGCGCACACTGAAGAAACTGCAGGACCGCTATTGGTGGCCACGAATGACTGCAACAGTGACCCAGTACGTTGACGGATGTCAAACATGCCAGGTCAACAACCGCCCTACCACACGCAACGTTGGGAGGATGGGCTTCATGCCGACAACCGAAGTCCCCTTCAGCACTATTGCACTGGACCACGTTACAATGCCTCTAAGCGATGGTGGCAAGTACATTCTGAACGTTATAGACTTTGCCACGCGTTTCATTGTGCCAGGTGCCGTCTCAACTACTTGCACCAAAGAAGTGATTCAGCACTTGTACACAGTCTTCTACCACTACGGTGTGCCTGATGACTGCCTGTCTGACCATGGCCGTGCCTTTGAGTCCTGCGAATTCACACGATTTTTGGTTCTTCATGGTATTCGACAACACTTCTCGGTAGCTTACCGTGCGGCAAGCAATGGGCTTGTCGAGAGAAGTAACGGAACGCTCGTCTCGGTGCTGAGAAAGATGTGCAACGCAGAGCCATCATGTTGGGAAGAGAAACTAAGCGCCGCAGCCTTCGCTGTGAACACAGCCGTCAATGCAACTTTACAGTTTTCCCCTTTTGAGTTGCTGCACGGATATGTGCCCAAACTGCCCATGGAGAAGTTCCGACGCCTTGGAACCACCACCCTAGAAGCAAGACTTCTAGACCTTTCAGAACGCCGCAGTGAAGCGCAACAGAATTCTGAGCAAGCTCAGCAACGACGGAAACGTCGCTATGACGAGAGCCATCGCCATGTCACCTTTACACCAGGCCAGCATGTATGGCTTCGACGTCAAGAACCAATCACAGATGGCACTACAAAACTTGCTCCAACCTACAAGGGACCTTATCAAATCATCGCACAGAAGACTCCAGTCACCTATGAGATTCGCCGTATAACTAATCCAGCCGACAATTCATCAAGAGACGAGAGAGTTGCGCACTCCAGCCAGCTCAAAGTATTCCGTCCTCCATATGTTGACCCTACCCTCCTTGCCCATCTGCGACCCGCACCGACAGCCTGTGCCGAACCAGACCCTGTGACAACCGGACCAACAGCCAGTGCCGAAGCAGAACCCTTAACAACCGGACCAACGCCTAGTGTCAACACAGAACTTGCAACCCCCGGTCCAAGCTCGAGGACCCAACGAGTGCGGCGCCTGCCCAACTATTTGACAGATTACGACCTTTCTGAATGAAAGCTTCGGGACCAAAGGGCCTTGGTCCTATTAAGAGGGAGTCGGATGTGAGCAGGCTCATTACTAGCGCCACCTGCCGACATCTTGTTGTTCACAAAGCCAAGCCTGGCCCAACGAGGGAGCGCTAGTCGACGCTCCCGCCATGCGATGTTCCCGCCATAACCGCCGTATGAATTTGCCATCGTTATTAAACCCTTTAAGTAACGTTTAACTCTGCCTCTGTCATCCGTACCCTCACACTACAAACTTAACATTTGCCTTGCTGCATACCCGAGCCGGAGGAATAATATGGAGCCAACGGTTTCAACAACAATAAACTACATATAATGGGACATGGGTAAGACGATTAACATTGTTAATAACTTTGCCTGAGTCCAGCAGCGTCTCCCCAGTGCGCCGCCTCTGATGCGCCTTATGAAGGCGGCGCACCCGATGTGCGCGTGGCTGGCGTGACGTCGCCGCAACGCGGGAAAAGTTCGACACCTTTGCCTCGCAGTCGGGCAACTGGGCTGTGGAGCCGCCAGGGTGCCCACAAAGTTCAAGCTTGTTACATCTAAGTGCTGATTTTTCAGGCCTGTTTTGGATCAAGCCTTACTGATCTAATGACCTGTCATATTATATTATAATAGTGTAGCCACTTACAAAACTGTGTCTAAGTCAGCTGTCACTTTCTGAAACGAAACTCTTGGTTGTTTTTAGTGGCAGCTGCTATTTCAATAAGAAACAGCTTTTAGAGCGCAGCTCTTATGGCGCATTCACACTGGAAGCGGATCCGCGTTTGCGAGGCGGTCGCGGATGCGGTTCGCGAGCGACCCCGTTCAGACCAGACTTGTACCGTACGCATTACAAGTAATCAAATTACTTGTAATCGATTACTTTTTGGAGTAATTTTGTAATCAGTTGATTACTTTTATTAGGCAGTAATCACAAGAGTAATCTGATTACTTTTTGGAGTAATAAAATTACTTGTAACCGTTACAATTTGTCCACGGGACCCCCCCCCCCCCCCCCCCACCGGCACACGCCTTTTTTTTTATGAAATGACAAAAATAAAATTTGCTTTCTTTTTTTGCGAACGGAAAAAATAAAGATTTTTGCTGAGGTCAATCTCTTTCTATGTACAGTTTCTGTAGAATGTCTGTTTCCTTTTTTTTTTTTTTTCGAGCTGGGACTGGGAGTGGGGAGCCCCAGGGATGCCACAGTGCGTGACAAAGGCCATTCAGGGCGAAGTTTGAGGAAGCAGAATGTAGCTTTGTGAGTCCTTCGTTCAAACTAGCCCCCTCACGCACACACACACAGAAATAAAAAAATCCTGCTTAGGGTACCTACTCGCAGCCCGTAGGAGAACCAGAACCGAAGAATGCCTAAAGCGGATGCAAAATATAACAAAGGCAGTTGAAATATTACCCCATTTCCCCTACGTGGTCTTTGTGACAAGCAATGTTTCGAGTTGAGAAGTGGTCGGGGCGATCTCTTCCGCTAATGGATACTACACATGATCCGTTTCAAATCCTGGAACTGCTGCTCTTTTGTATAACATGCGAGCTCATCCACATGTGAATAATAAAATGAGCGACGCAAACTTTGAGCGACAACCCTTGCTCAAGCTTAACAAGATCTAGAACCCCCTCCGCGCCCTCCCCCCCCCCCCCCCCCACACACACACACACGCACACACTGGCGAACGCCCAAATCATTAAACGTCTTCAAACGAATTCTATGCTTGTGTCCGCATTGTGAAGGTGCAACGACCACGAAGAGGAAGCCAGTTTTTCTTCTTCAATACATGTGCAAATATTAAATATAGGTTGGAAGTAGTTAATTGTTATGAGCGCTAAAGATGTGTCTTCACAAAATAAAGTAATCGGAAAAGTAACGATTACTTCTTTAAGTAATGGCCAATTACTTTGGCCGTCGAGTAATCAAGTAATCTAATCGAATACTTTTTAGCCGAGGGTAATAGTAATTGTAATCGATTACTTTTTTTTAGTAACGTGTACAAGACTGGTTCAGACACACCGAGAGGCGGTTGGCGGTTTCTCGGCGATCCCGCATGATCTTTTGAGACTTGCGTTCGGCAACCCTGTTTTACAATTCGAAATCCACTTTAATTCGAGATCCAAAGCCAAACTTTTGCTATTTTGGCGCTCGGAATATTTTTCTCCGGGATGTTCGCACGCATCACGAGTTCAGGCAGCGAAAAAAGAAGCACGGTCCCGCCAAACTCGCCTGTGATTCCCTCGACTTCGCCCACAAGCAAAGCCCAGCTTGGCGCGCCTTGCTGACTCAGAACAGGATGCCCCCGACCTTTTCTTCGAAGTGGACCCTTCCCGCATGAATAGCTGACCTTGTTTTTGGGATAGAGGGCCAGTTTTCCCCCCTCGTTCCCTCGTTGTTGTTCGCTCTTATCATTTTCGAAGTTGTGAGCGGTGGGGTGGACCGTGGTGCGGGGGAATGTGTTCGGTGCTAGCCGGTCGTGGCTTCGTTGGTGGCGGACTCTCCACTCGTCACTCGCTTGTCGATCGAGTCTACTGTTTGTTTGACATTAAGCTCAAATAAACGCAGTATGGATTACCTCTGAATTGTCTGGTACGTACACTTTATTCCTTGAGTAGGTTCCCTTCATTTATTTTATTAGTAGTAAACGTTACAGGTCGAGCTAGCGCAGGTACTCTGCCCCCTCCACGGTAATGCGTTGGCTACGCAATCAAGCTCAGGACGTCTCTATCGGCTTTCGTGGTGGTCATGCACGGTGTCGAAAGCTTTCAATAGTTCACGCGACTATCTTAGTGGGTAGCAAGACTGCCATTTCAGTCGATCAGGGGCGGGTTCCGACGTTCTACGGGCAGAGACTAACAAGGCAGCGAGCTTCGGGCAGTGGCACCCGGAACAATAAACAAACTCTTACCCGAACCAAATCACCGGTGCGAAGCCCGTTAAAATTACGAGTCAATTCTTTTCGCGGCGGATTCAAGTGACGGACGTGAACATCAAGTTTCTCCGTTGATTTGTTGAAAGCTAAGACTACAGCGCTAGGACTACAGCGCCTTGGACGCCTCACCAGCGACAGGTGCCATCTTGTTTCGAAAGTCACTGACGTCACGTCAGCGTCGCGTTGTGATTGGTTGCGGCTTTGCGGTTCGTGAAAGCGGTTGCGAGAAATCGGTCCCGAAGCGGTTGGCAAAAACGCGCTCCAACCGCTCGATCCTAGCCGCTTTGCGGTTGAGAACGCGCGGATCCGCTTCGCGAACGCGGATCCGCTTCCTGTGTGAACGCGCCATTAGGGGCCCGTTCTCGGCTTGAGCGGCATCGCCGTCGGCGTCGGCGTAACCAAGGTCATCCCAAGGTCACGTGGCCTCCCAAGGTCATCCCAAAGTCACCCCAAGGTCACGTGACCCCCAAGGTCACGTGACACCAAAAGTCACGTGACCCCCAAGGTCACGTGACCTCCCCTGGGGTCACGTGACCCCCCCCCCCCCCCCGGTCACGTGACACCCCCCCCCCCCCCCCGAGGTCACGTGACCACCCCAGGGTCATGTGACCTCCCCGATGACGTCATCGTCACTGATGACGTCACCGGCATCCGCATCGTCATCAGTGACGTCATCAGTGACGTCACTGATGACCTCATCGTCATCCGCATCGTCATCGTCATCATCACTGATGACGTCATCAGTGACGTCACTGATGACGTCACCGGCATCCGCATCGTCATCGTCATCATCATGGATGACGTCACCGGCATCCGCATCGTCATCGTCATCATCACGGATGACGTCATCGGTGACGTCACTGATGACGTCACCGACATCCGCATCGTCATCGTCATCATCGCTGATGACGTCATCAGAGTCCGCATCGTCATCGTCACTAATGACGTCATCAGTGACGTCACTGATGACATCATCGGCATCGTTACGTGACCCCCCGAGGTCACGTGACCCCCCCAGTACCCTTCCCTCCTCCTCCTCAAGAGCTGCGCTCTAATTCGGTGTTACAGGGAGTTGTAAACGGCTTTCACTTTTTTATGGGCTCTTCACAAGCTAAGTCTCGCAGTAAATTTTTTTTTAAATTTCCTCGGGCGTTTGATTAGAATTATGCTTAGTTCAGTTGTCGGTTGAAATGGGAAAAAAAATGAAGCTTCAATGTAGGGCATAGGATCATGTTTAGCAAAACCTGAAATATTTCAAAGGTGCTGGTTGTCTTTGTGGTAGCGGCGATCAGTACGAACGGAGAGCGTGTGCCGAACGCCGGCCTGCGCATGCGAAATTGAATACATTGGTCTTAACCTGAGATTGATGATCTGGTGAAATCAGCTGCTGCAATTGCTTGCTTTTTGAGACCGTCTTTCCTTCTAGGACGGAAGCTTTAAGTGCGTCATACGGTGCGGCAGCAGGCGGATTCTAAAGAATGCAGTAAACTTCGAACGCAACTACATTGGAAAGGGCAGCAACGAGATGACTGAAACACGTTGCCTGTGATACGACATTCGAGACGCTCAACCGAGCTTCTGCTTGTAAAAAATCAGACTTCTAGGTACTGTGGCCGGAAGGGGAGTGGCGCACAGCGTAGTTTTTGATACTCTGGGGAGGCTAACTGTTGAGATATGGTTCTTGTGCGTTCCCGTCCGTAATCTGAGTCACCACTGTAGCTGACGACGGAAAAAACGCAGCCACACAACGTGAAGATTTGGTTAAGAGTGGCAGATTCTATTTGCGCACGCTGGCCGGCTTTCAGCTCGCGCACTCCGATCGTTCCAATCGGCGGCGCCACAGTCTTTAAAAGCATAGTCTTATGGATTGATTGCCAATTATTTTAGAATTACTAAATTATTCTTTAAAGCAACCCTTGAAAGGTTTGCATTCCAACATCATAAGTGCCTACTGTCGAGACACACTCCTTGTGCCTGTAATTGCTGATATCAAGGGCAGGTGGCACAAACTATCTAACTCTTTTTAATAAAGAATAGTTTGCTTATATTAATTTTGTAAGGTAGGTGCAGTTCAGGAGATTTCAGAGATGTAGGTGTGTATCTACAGTTGGTGAGAGCTGCTCTAGACCAGGGGTTTCGAACTTATTCATGTGTGCGGGACAGATAGCCCGCACACCCTCTATAGGTCAAGGACCAACATAGGGCAAGGGGGGGGGGGGGGGGGGAGGAAGTGACTACATTTTTGGACACAAGAAAAAAAAGATCACCAATAGTGTTTCATATTGCAAAGAAATCGAATCATTCAGCGGCACTTTAATGTTTTCCTAGAGAAGGGAACTTGTGCTTTTTGAAAACTCGCCGTTTGCCAGTGAAATCTTAAGCTTTGATATTTCTGTGACCACTTTTGACCCATATCCAATGTGATAACAAGGTTTAAAAGTCACTGCCCTGCCAACCTGCTGGAATGTTTCAACAGAACAAGAGAGCAAGCACACTGTCATTGCCCTGTTGCTCAAATCAATGGGGATTTTTGAATATCAACATGTCTTTAAAAAAAAGAAATTGCTTGATAGGACAGTTCTTCCTTGCATTTTAATAACTGCATTAGAAGAATGTACTTGTATTGTAGTTATATTTTCGAACGGATAGAAAACTGAGCAAATAAC